AAATAAAATTTTAACTTACGTGAATCTTGAGAAATCATAAACTATCACAAATCAATATACCTTCTCTCGTAGACTTAAAGTATTAACTGGTCCAAAAAGATCCATATGAATTATTTCCAATAATTTGCTAGTCTAAGATCCTTAGTGAAATGAAATGAGAACTTCACCTATTTTCCTAGTTGACATGCATCACCAATGTGGTCCTTAGTAAAGTCTAGTTTAGATATACCTCTAAACAGTTCCTTTGGAGTAATTTTTCTAAGGTTTTTCATGTTAGTGTGATAAAGTCTCCTATGTCATAACCAAGATTCATAAAAAAAATATTTTTAAATAAAAAACATTAGAAGTTTTAATACAGTTCAAGTCTAGCATATAAATATTATTTACCCTAGTTTCATGTAATATATCATTTCCATTTAGGCTTAATATGCAGCTAGTATGAAAAAATTTAATATTATACACATTGTCACATAGCTGGCTAATACTTAACAAATTATGCTTTAAGCCTTCTACAAGTAGAACATTCTCAATGAAAAAATTATTCAAGTTTTTTATCATACATGTGCCAACCACTTTCTTAATGGTATTATCTCCTAGTATAACCTTGTCTCTATTCCTAGCTTCCAACGGTATGAATTGTGTAGTCTTTCCAGTCATATGCTTCGAGCAACCATTATCCAGGTACCAAATGCTCTCACGAGGTCTTGTATGAGAGCGTACTTACAAAATAATCAAATGTTAGACTTGGAAATCCAAACAAGTTTGGATTCTCCTCTTAAAGAAATTTAACTAGATGCATGCATAATATGACTTATTTTATGCATCTTAGGTCTCCATACTAAATGAGTTTTTTATGTAAAGTACAAGTGTGTGAAAAATGTCAAATCATCCCATAACTCTAGGAAAAGGATTTTTTAATCTTCGATAATAAATCTATCTCTTCCTAGGTTTTAAGATTTTTTGCCTTCAAAATAGGATAAGTAAACTCTTTAAGTGTAGGGGGTGTCATATTTTTCTCAAGAGCTTTCACCTTAATTCTAAGAAATGAATTAGCATATTCTAATACATTAATATCATATTTCAAATAGTGTTATTTATTTTCAGATTCATCTTTAAAAGATTTTAATTCTTTTTTTAGTTCAGTATAGAATGATTTTAGAAGATCATTTAGCTTATTCAAATCATCAAATTATCTAGTAAGCTCATGTGGTTATTATTAATTAGTGTGCGATCTTTCTTAAGGGTTTTATGCTCCTTTTTTGTAACTCTTATAATTCTAAGTTTAATCTAGCATACATTTTCTTAAATTTTGTATATGCAGTATGAATTCTTTCAAAAACTTCAAACAATTCATCATAGGTTAAGTCATATACATCTTCTTGATCTAACTGATCAAGATTATCAGTCATTAAACACAAGTTGATGACTTCTTCTTCCTTTTTTATTTTTGATGAATCCAAATCTAAGTCCACCTAGAAAGCTCTCTGAAATCTCTTCTTTCCATTCCTCACATTCACTTTCTCCTACACCTTCTCATTACTAGGAGTGGCTTTGAGATTGCGGCAATTCAATTTTACATGTCCTGATTTCCAACATTCATAGCAAATAACATCATTAGAAACATTAACATTTTTGTGGAACTTATCTCTATTCCACTATTGGCATCTCTTTTTCTTTCTTTTAAGAAAACTCATGAATTGCCTTGTCATCAAAGCAATGTCATCCTTATCCTCAGGTTGTGACTGATCATAATCCGAGTCATCCACATTCAATGCTATGTGCTTCTCCTTTCATTGTTCTTCTGTATCAATCTTCCTTTGACTCACTACTTGCTCATAAGTAATTAGTAATCCAAGAAGATTATCAATAGAATAAATATTTAAGTCCTTAGACTCTGTAATATCAATTATTATAGCATCATAATTAGGAAGCGTACAACGAAGAATTTTATTAAAATTTTTAGTATTCGTTAGTTATCTACTTAATGCATGCAAAGAAGTTACTATTTGAGAGAATCTTATGTACATGTTAGAAAATGGATTCATTAGGTTTTATATGTAATAATTTATAATCATAGAACATTATATTTAATATATATTGCTTTACTTCATTAGTCACTTCGTATGTGATACAAAGCATATCCCAAGTGTCATTTCTACTTTTGCAAGTAAAAACATGTATGTAATCTTTAGACTTAACTGCACAAAAGAAACTATTTAAACATTTTATATTTAATTATGTTAAGTCACGTTCTTCTATATTCTAGTCAGCAAAAGGTGTTTCAAATCTAATGCGATCTATAAGTCTAGTTGGCCTAGTATACCCTTCCTGAACTAAAATCCACATGTGATAGTCAAGCGATTGAAAAAATATAGACATACGTGTTTTCCAAAAATCGAAAGGGATATTATCAAATAACAGAGGTCTAGTGATCGAATATACTTCAGGTGTGTTTCAGTTTTTAAAAGTACCCATTATCATTTTTAAAAAGTAGTATAAATCTACGCAATTGTCCCAAGACTAACCAAGGGGGGTGAATTGGTAATTTAAATTTTTTTTGGATTTTTTAATAGAAAATTGATTTAACAAATTATCAAATTTGATTATCTTTTTGAAATTAGCTTTTCAACCATAACAATAAAATTGCAGAAAATAAAAAATATAGAAAATAAAATGACACAAAGATTTCTAGTGGTTCGGTCAAACCACGACCTACATCCACTCCCTGAAGACTTCCTCTTCAGATATTCCTCTATTACCAAAGTGACTCTCCTTTTGCCCCAACAGCAAGGTAGAGAAGCCTTTACAATTCCTCTCTTCCATCAATCCCCGATGCGGTAGAGAACCATCATCCTTTCACACTCTCTAAGTATCGATAGAGAACCCTCATCCTTTCACACTCTTTAAGTGTTGGTAGAGAACTGCCGTCATTTCACACCCTCCAAGTGTTGGTAGAGAACCATCATCCTTTCACATCATCCAAGTATCAGTAGAGAAATGTTGTCCTTTCACACCCTCCAAGTGTCGACAGAGAATTAACGTATGTTCACACTATTTAAGTGTCGGTAGAGTACCAAATCTTCTTCAAAGATCTTCTCTTGAGCAACTAAAAAGAGAAGAGGAAAGAAAGCGTAATAACAAAAAAAAGAAGAAGAGATTCTTACCTTTAAGTAACATTGTGATTCCTTCACACTCCACTTGCAAGAAATTTTTCTTAAACACTCTCCTATAAACACTCTTATACTTACTCCTGAAAAATCACGAAGAATGATATTTTTACTGTCAGTTTCTATGGACCTTTTATATGAAAGATACGAAAAACCGTCTAGAAAAAAAATTTATATTTTGACCGTTTACTATTGTACATTACGATCGATGTTCATTCCGGACGAACAATTTAAGATTTCCTGGTATGATCTTATACGAATTGTTTTTATACAATCATTTTTTATAATACGATCTGCCTATAGTATAATATGAATAATTATCAAAAAGTTCTCATTCGTCTAGACAAAAATGTTCCCAATAATTTCGTACTCTAGACGACGTTTGTATGAAGTCCAGATCGTCCCGGATGAATAGTTCAAAAATTTTACCTGTTCGTTTGGACGAAAATGTTCCCCACATTTTCGTACTCTAGACGTCGTCTATATGAATGTCATATCATCCTAGACGAATAGTTCAAATATTTTACATATTCATCTAGACGAAAATGTTCCTCATATTTTCAAACTCTGGATGTCGTCTGTATGAAGCCAACTTACAAACAGTACTTAGAAAATTTTCTCGCCCAAGTTTTGATTAACTACTCGTTGGAGGAAATAACTAAATAAATTGCCCCGTACAAAAGTAATTCGTACAGTACGATTAGTTTAAATTTTTTTATAAATTTTAAACACTCTTCTTGTGTGTGTGTGTTGCACGATTACTCAATTACAATCACACTCTTTCAGACTCAATAAAAAGAAAAAATACAGACCAATTATAATGAAACCTAATCTAATTTGATTTGAAGTCTTCAACAATCTGAACTATGATTTTCCTGAAATATTAATATACAAAAACAACAAAAACAATATATCCAAAATATGTTAGGAGAAAGTGTAATTAAAACAATAATATTTGGAATCATAAAAAACAAACATGTTGCATGAATCTCAACAATCGAATAACTAAGTTGTAACAATCTCAATAGGAAGCCCTCGAATTAACACAATTTTTAAAAGATTCATGCCATGATTATTCGATAAGTTTTATGCTAGCTGTCGATTACCTAATGCAATAATCAACTTTTCTTATTTAGGATTTATGACCTAGCAATAATCCAATTTTGTTGAGTGTGGGATTTGAACCCACGCCTTTTCGGACTAAAACCTTAATCTGGCGCTTTTGACCAACTCGGCCATCTCAACTGCAATGAATCATTAGACATATTTCTTAAAATAAATAAATAATAATGGAATTTGTCTAATTATAAATTTTATAATGCATATAAAGTCAAAATTCTCTTGTTTATCTAATATTTATGCCATCATATTTATTTATATAATATTTTAATAACTACATTATATTGAAATATATGTATATAAATATATTTTATTAAAAAAATTAATAATAATTATATTTTAATATAATTTAAAGTTTTAATTATTATATAAATATATATTAAAATCTAGGGAAATTTACATACATACCACTTTATAACATCCTATTTAAATATCTAACACTCAAAATTTTAATATTACATACATATCACCCTATTTTATTTTAATATCAAATATGCTACTCATATTTCTTTTCTATCACTCATATATTTCATTTCTACTACTCATATTTGATATAAAAATGAAACATGAATAGTAAGTATGTAATATTAAAATTTTAAATGTTAAATATAAAAATAGAATAATATAAAATGATATGTATGTAAATCAGTAAATTTACCTAAAATTTAAGTATTAGATATCGATATTAGTTATAATTAAACGAGAAAATTCTTACAAAGCTAAAGTTAAAGGCGCCAATCCACTATATTTTCCCGCCAAAAATCTATAATCAGGGTTTTGATTGGCAGATCAAACGACGGGGAAGTTCTGACCTGTGAGCAATGTCGGACTCAGTTGTTTACGGCCGCCGGAGTCGTACCAAAGGCCAGGATGCCACAGTTCGTGCCGAGGCCCTGGAACGCCTCAAGGCCCTTCGTAGCTCAGGCGGGCGGCGGTCTGCTGCCGGCGTCGGCTTTCAGATAAAAGTAGAGGATCCAATCTATGACACGATCGAAGAGGACGACTACGCTGCCCTTGTAGCCCGCCGGCGTGAAGACGTCGGGGGTTTTATCGTCGACGACGATGGCCTCGGATACGCCGACGATGGCCGCGAGGAGGATTGGAACAACCCCAGCTTCGCCAATTCCTCTGACGAGGAGTCCTCTGAAGGCCAAGACGAGAAGCAAAGGAAGAAGAAATCGGCGAAGAAGGAACCTGCAATTAAGAAATCCCAGCCTTCTTCTCTATCGGCTGCGGCCTCCTTGATGGGAAAGCAGAGGCTTTCTTCGATGTTCACTTCCTCCGTCTTTAAGAAGAATGATAGGGGGAAGGGTCCTCCTCTTTTTTCAGATGGTTTAATTGACGATGTTATTGCTGAGTTTGCTCCCGACGAAACTGATCGTGAGAAGAGGCGAAGGGGATCTGCAACGGGAACACGAAATCCCGCCTTACATCCGATTGCGCCAACCAAGTCGGAGATGCAATCTTTTTCTGCTGAAATTGTATTACCAGAAACATCTTCCATTTCTGAATATAGGGGGCGGATTCAGGAAAATGGCAGTGAGGATTCTCGACAGGATGTTAAAATAGAGAAGGATGACACGTGCTTACATTCCGTGGTCGAAGAGGTGGGCACGGCGAAATTGGATGCTGGTAAGGCAAACATAAGTGTGGAAGTGGAAGCAGAATCAAGACCGAACGAGAAGGGCTTCTCACTCAATGCAAAGATTAAGAAGGAAAATGAAAATGCTACGGCTAGTGCGTCTGCTGGGTGGAAGGCTGTCTGCAGTGAAGAGGGATATGGCGGTGGTCTTCAGGTTGAATTAAATGGCAATTTAGACGAGAAATCCGATTTTGAGCTTGATTCCGATAATTCGTTGCCTTTCTACATTATTGATGCTCATGAGGAATCTTATGGTGCCAATATGGGAATTTTATATCTTTTTGGGAAGGTAAGTTTTGTAGGACGCTATAACGCGAAGCCTTGTTTCTTTAGTTTTTTTTCCTGGTTCATGGTTTTGTTCTTGATAACGTAGATAGTAATCAACAGCTTTCTATCCGCTAAAATAATTTAATAGTCTTCAATGTTTATAAAAGATTAATATTTATTTTATGAAAATAATTCTATTGGTTTAAGTAATTCATATTCTCTGTGAACTAATTGACAAGCAGGCATCTGTTAAGGCGCATTTAAATTTTCAATACGCGGTGAATTGATCTGAATTGTTTACCTTTGCACATATATTAGGTCAAAGCAGCTGGAACATATCATAGTTGTTGTGTGGTCGTAAAGAACATGCAGAGATGCGTGTATGTTATCCCTGAGAGCTCCGTGTTTCCTAGCGACAAAGTAGCCGACATCGAGAGAAATTTTCCTGATTCTTCTTCAGCTTCACGAGGAGCTCTCCAAGTCAGTCAGCGACAACTTTCATTTAAATTAAACATTTTAATCGGGTTATAATGAAAATAACAATTATGCTTTCTTGTTTGTTAACGAAAGTAATGCTTGTTAGTGGTATCTTATTCTCAACTAATTGCTGTAGAGTTATTCCCCTGATTTTGACCATGTTGATTTATTTACTGGGCTGATGAAATATATCTTTCTTTTTTTGGTCCAGGAGATGGCATCAGTATTAAAAAATGAAATAACATTAAGATTATTGGATCTTAATGTTTCAACGTTTAGCATGTTGCCTGTTAAGGTTTGCTGTCAACTTAATATACACCAAAGGATGTCTATTAGTACTTGAAATGTCCAGTCAGTCTTTTCTTTTGCATTTGTTTTCATTGAAAATCAGCGTGGTTATGCATTTGAGCGTGCTGACATACCCAGAGGACAGTATTACGTCCTCAAGGTCAGGTACCCGTTCAAGGTGCGTCCATTTGGATGTGATTGTTTGTTTCTTTAAATTTGCACTAATTTAGCTTAAGTTGTAATAATTGCTTGCATCCAGGAACCACCTCTCCCAGCAGATCTCAAAGGTCAGAACTTCGTTGCAGTACTTGGAACACAATGCAGGTAAAGATAATTGAACGTTAGGTCAATAAATTGTCTGCTGTTAAACTGCAGAGTAAGCCAAGAACTTTTTAACTCTTGAAATTTGAGTTTCTTATGTCTTGCAAAGTACCGTGACCTGTCAGCCTATTCAATACACAAGTTTATTTATATTGAAATTGGAACATGGGAGGTTTGTTTTTGTGGTCTATGCTTTAACTGTCAATGCAGCAGCAGGTTGATTTTATTCCAGAAAAATAGTCTAAATATATTGTGTGTACTATTTGATGTGCATTTTATAAGTTCTCCTTGTTGGCATGCGATGGATGTTATTTATTAAAAGTTAAATCAAATGTGTCACCAGCACACGAAACAAAAATCATTGTGAAACATCTGAGAATCACTCTAAATGGTATAAGTCAGAGTTGATATGTTGCTGGCTGATTGAAAGATGAAGTTTTTTCATGATGTTTGAAGTTTAGTCATTGATGATTGAGTTATGTACTTGCCTAGAGTATATTTGGTCGCTGCACCATTTTACTTGTAAAATTACTCTTAAGCTTTATGTGTTCTTTTTCAGGAAGTCGATAGTAGAAGGTCATCTATATCATGTTTTTTTTTAATTAAATACCAATAGATATATAAATCATTTTTCCTAAGTTTAAAATAACCTTTTGACCAAGATCCTATTTTTCAGTGCTCTCGAGCTGTTTTTAATTAAAAGGAAAATCAAGGGCCCCTCTTGGTTGTCAATTTCAAGATTTGTCAGCAGTGCAGCTTCGGAACGAGTGTGATAATATTTCCCTCATTTGAAAGACCTACAGTCATTTAATGTTTCCATATGGCTTGTTTGTGTACTAAACCTTGAACTTATATTTTTGTTGAATATTATAACAGGTCAGCTGGTGCAAATTTGAAGTAGTTGTTGATTGCTATAAGGATGTATTTGGTTCTAGTTCAAAGTTTTTTCTTGAAATTCCTCCAGTGGTAGTTGCAGCGATTAACTTGAAGACTATCATCACCGAGAAAAATGCAAATGAAATTGTTTCAGCTTCTGTGATCTGTTGTCATAAGGCAAAGGTTTGATGTTCACTTTTGAAATAGTTTGTTATATGTGTTTCTGTTCTTTCATATAAATCTGACCTAAAATGGGATTAAATGAATGCATTTGCAAGAGTTTTTGTTTGTACAATATAATTTTATTTGTTTTATCACTGATTCCTACATTTTAATAGTTCAATGGCATGCCCACTATTCTTAATTCTCCCATGTCACCTACAACTTCAGGTTGATGCCCCAATGATGGCTTCTGAATGGAAAAGAAAGGGAATGCTTAGCCATTTTACTGTTATTCGAAAGCTTGATGGAGTTATATTCCCATTAGGCCTTCAAAAAGAGGTTGCGGATAGAAACTCGAAGGCTGGCACAAATTTATTGTCATTGGAAAGCAGGTGCTGTATCATAGTTTCATTTCTGGTAAATGTTGTATTGTCATTCCCCCTATCACAGGAGGGAAGTATAATGTTGGTGGTTTTGGATCTCCTGCAGTGAAAGGGCCTTGTTAAATCGTTTGTTGATTGAACTCCATAAATTGGATTGCGATGTGCTTGTTGGACACAACATTTCTGGATTTGATCTTGACGTTCTTCTCCACCGAGCTCAGGTTTGAATTATGGCCAAACTTTTTAGTTCGTTCTTGAGCTATTCACATCATTTAAAAAGTGAAAATTTAACCGAACATTTAACTAGAACACCTTACTAGTTGCATGCGAGGATATCTTTAAGATGCAGACTATGATTAAAAAATAATTTCATTGGAGTTGCACTAGTTTTAATTGGCAACCGGAAGATATACTTCACTTGTGATTCAACTTCTTCATTTAAGAATGCTTTCATGTAAATACTGCTATAGTTTCTATTTCAATGAGAAGACTTTGTTTCACCTTCTTTGCTATTCTTTTCATCAAGAAGGCCTTTAATAATATCTAAATAGTTGATGTAACTGTTTAGGAAACACCTCTTATGCTATTCCACCTGTATAGGCTTGTAAGGTACCCAGCAGCATGTGGTCTAAGGTAGGTCGTCTAAAGCGTTCTACAATGCCGAAGCTTACCACAGGGAATGCACTTTATGGGTCTGGAGCTAGTCCAGGAATCATGTCTTGCATTGCAGGTCGACTTTTGTGTGACACCTATTTGAGCTCTCGAGACCTTTTGAAGGAGGTATATCATATTTATGCCAGATTTCATAATTTGAAAGAGTTTTTCTTTTATCCCTTTTTTTCATTCCTCTTGCATTATATGCAAAATTTAAGGTAAGCTATTCGTTGACCCAACTGGCGAAAACTCAACTGAATAAAGATAGGAAGGAGATTAACCCGCATGATATTCCTGTGATGTTCCAAACATCAGCTGCACTGCTCCAATTGGTAGGTATTTATGTTAGCTATTGCAATAGTGACGTACATCAGTTGTTTGCTTTACCTTTCCAAAACACAGGTTTAGTTGTGGTTGCACATTGGTACTTCGTTATTCATCTCTGAAACACTACATTTTATTGGAAGTTAAATGCTGGAACATGTGGGTGTAGGTTGAATATGGAGAGACTGATGCTTGGCTATCTCTGGAACTTATGTTTTATTTGAGTGTTCTTCCCTTGACAAGGCAGCTAACAAACATCAGTGGCAATCTCTGGGGGAAAACTCTCCAGGTTTATTGTCTATTATCCCAAACCGTTCTAATTATGTCCAATTTAAGACGCTTAACATGATTTCCACATTGAATTTTTCAGGGTGCAAGAGCGCAGCGGGTGGAATATTTATTGTTACACGCCTTTCATGCTAAAAAGTACATGCTTCCAGACAAATTTTCTGCACGAAGGATGGAGACTACTACAAATAAAAGAAAAGTAACAGCTGGTTTGGTTGGTGAGGATGCTGTTGACTTAAATGATGCTGTTCTTGAAAATGAAGGGCAACATATTGTTCATGGGAAAGGAAGGAGAAGTCCTACCTACTCTGGTGGATTGGTTTTGGAGCCAAAAAAGGGTCTATATGACAAATACATATTACTACTGGACTTTAATAGCCTTTACCCTTCTATTATTCAGGTATTGTCTTGCTCAAATTGATCCCAAATTTGTTTTCGCTCAGCTATTATTTTTGTTGTTTGTTCTTTCATATTATTATTCGTCATGTTCTAGTAGTTTTTTTTTAATGCCTGAGATTTGATTGTGATTTTGTTCACACAGGAGTACAATATTTGCTTTACTACAGTTGAAAGGCCTAATGATGGTATAGTTCCAAGTTTACCGTCATCCAGGAATCCTGGAATCCTACCTGAGGTACTTTCTTCTTATGTAGACAACTAATGCTTCTACTTGAATATTAGCCCATCACATACTCACTTTTGTTTGATTTATCTTAGTTACTGCTTAGCAGCACTTACAGGAATTAAGTATTTCAGTGAGAAATTGCATTCGATAGAACTTTTCAGCAATATGATAAGGGGTATACTTTAAAGTATTAAAAATTAGCCAAAAAAATCAACCTAGACTCTCTATGCTTTGTATTTTTTTATGCTAGCATAACATTCATGCCATGGACAGCAATATTATAAGGGATTATAAAGTATTGAAAATAGGCTTAAAAATTCAAGCTAGACTATTGAAATTATGATGCTGTCCTTGCTCATATTCTGTTGTTAAAAGCAAAAATCAAGGGGTTATTTGATTCATTTTGATTAGGATTCGATCAATTTCTCAGTTTTTATATCATTTCCTGAAAAACTTAAAAAAAATTTTCTTATGGCTTCCTTGTTATAAATGCATTATTATGTTCAAAGTAGTGCATTTGGTTTTGGCATTCTTTTTAGTGCCCGAGAATGCCAATCTCTCTCATGGTGTTCAGTAAAAATTATCTTGATGCTTCATTGTCAGAGCAATGAATTAGGTAATCTAACAATGCATTTATGAGAAAAAGAATCAAAATTGTCCTTGACTCTTTATAAATCAAAATATTCCCAAACTATATCAAAAGATTATTTTGGTCTCTTAACTCTTTAAAGAGGAATCAAAATAATCCCACCATGTAATTATTTTGATTCATTTTTAAAGATTTGAGAGATCAAAATGATTCTTTAATATAGTTGGTGATCATTTAAGGGATCATTTTGATCATTCATAAAGAGTCAAGGGACAATTTTGATATTTTTCCTGCATATTTATTTTTAGTGGTGTGAGGTGGTTGGGTGAAGCATAAAGTGAAATTATAGAACTCTTCTGATGTTGGATCATTATGCTTTATACAAGAAGTAACATAAATCCTTTTCAAATTAGTGGCTAAAAGTAACTCATGGAAATTATGTTATTTGTTTATTCGAATAAGCATCTGTTTACGTTTGTTCCAGATATTTCTTATAACGTTTAATGTGAATGAATGCGATGTATGTATTAACTTTGATATTTTTAGTACTAACTGATTTTTCATAGTATCCGGTGATTAATGACATTTGTATGCTCATTTTTTCATTTTTGTTCAACTCATTACTTTGAACTTTGTAGTTGTTGAGAAACTTGGTTGAAAGAAGAAGAACTGTTAAGAAATTGCTAAAGAATGCGTCTGGTCTGAAAGTACAACAACTTGATATCCAACAACAAGCATTGAAGCTCACTGCTAACAGGTCAATACTTGTTGTTCAAGCATATTTAGGTTTTATGTAGTGTACTTCTGACAGTGGTATTTTTCTGCATGGGCATTTGCAGTATGTATGGTTGTTTGGGCTTTTCCAATTCCAGATTTTATGCAAAACCAATTGCGGAGCTCATAACATCACAAGTAAGATATCTTACGTTGCATTCCATAAGTCTATCTATGCTGGTCCACATTAGGGATGGTAATTGGTTTGGGTAAACCTGAAATCTGACTATTAACTTGAATTTAACATGTTTGTGTAAAATTAAATGGTTTAGTACATTAGTTTGTTTTAGTTTGGGACCAGCTAGAGGTGTTCCCAACTTGGAGTTGACTTGGTAGTATAATTTATATCGCCTACTTGTTGAAGTATATACAATATTAAGCCTAGGATTTAAAAAGACTGCACACCTTTGAAAAATAACTGATGATAGAACCTTTCTGTTCAAATATCTCGTGATTAATAAATGAAAGTGCCAATTGCCATATTTATTTGAAGCAATCTTAACATCCGATGTTCAGTCAAAGCAGAATTCCACCCGTCGTCCACTTGCATGAGTCCCTTGTGATAGGCAGATTTATACACAAATTGTTTGCTTTTCTTTAAACGGTTCTCTCATTATATAAGAAATAATAGATAACATTCAAGATAGTAATTGAGTGATTTGATCAATCAAATTTGTCCTAATATGACAAAAGATAATATCCTTCTAAATTTTGAATATTTAGAGTTATATTAATTTATTATATCTATTTTAACCATAATTTACAAGCAATTATTGATACTCTAAAAAATGTCTAATTTTATGCATATCATACTTTTATCTTCCCTCAAATTGATGTTGATTTGTCAAAAAGCACTAATTTGCCTACTAGAATTTGATGCCTTTGTTGTGTTGTCACCTTCACAAACAAATATGTCTGCATGTTTGCATTTTTTTTTTTGAGAATTGCAATTTGCATGAAAAGAGATCACAGCTATTACAGACTAATCAACAAAATAACTATCATATTCCTTCTTCAAAAGACTATACAAGGAAGAACGAATATCAGAAAAAGAAGTATAGTCAAAACAAAAACTATTGTTTAAAGCTATATTAGCACACAGATCAGCAGCTTTATTACAATCTCTAGAGATATGATGAAAAATTACCTTGCCGAAGTCATTTAAAAATGACATCTTCTCCGAAATCAAGTTGTATGTTGCATATGTTGATTTCATCATAGAATCTTGAAGGAATTTAATCACATTGTAATTTTCACCTTCAATTATTATGCCTTTACAATCGAACATCCAATCATGTAAGAATTCTTTCAAAGAAGAAATAGCCTCCAACTCAAGTTGGTTAATATCCCAATGCATCCTCCTTTTACCAAAAGCAAGAAGAAGACGACCTTTAAAATCTCTAATTATACCTCAAATGCTTGCAATATTAGAGCCCAGTAAAGAAGCATCCACATTTATTTTTATCCAATGTAGAGGTGGGGGGTGCCAACAAGAACCAAACTCCAAATGGAGAGAAGCACCCCAGTTGACTAGCATTGGATATTTGCTCATGGAAGATGATAGAATATTTGCAGCGACAATTGAAGCAGGTAAAATAGAGTTACCATATTTGCTATCATTTTGACATTTTCAGGAGAAGAAAATAGCTGTGCAGTAGATTTTAACAATATTCAAGCAGTTTTTGGATAAAGCTCTCAACTAAGATAAGCAACTATTTAACGAATGAAAGATAGGAATAGTGAATCCCCAAGATCTCAACTTGCGAATGATGTCAATAAGAAATTTGCAGTGGACAGCAATATGCGAACAATTTTCAACATCATGGCAACCTCTAGCACAACGGTGCTTATGTACTAACTTTTGGAGCCCACAAAATGGTTGTACGTTTAGTATATTTAGACGGTGCTTATGTACTAATTAAATGGGAAAATGAATAATTGTTAAAGTAAAGTATTTTATGTATGTAAATGAATATGTTATGAGATGTATAAATGACTGGATGAAATAAAATGAATAAAGAAAAAAAATGTATGCCACTTGTTAAATGAATAGACTTAAGTATTTTATATATGATAATGATTACCCACTGAGTTTACACTGTAAGCTCAACCCACTAAATTAATGTTTCAGGTAAATTTTCAAAGAAGAAGAAATGACTGAAAGGGAAGAATACGTTTATAGAAGACGACACAACATTGGAAACAAGTAAATTATGATTGATGTGAATGCTCAGTTTTGGCATAGATTGATTAGATTTTCTTGAGGTTAGTGGCTCTTCAGTTGTTGAAAAGCTTTATGTTAATGTGTTATTAAATGGAATAAAATGCTACTATAGTCCGACTTGTCGTCTCGCCTCGTTGAATCGGGTATTCGGGCCGGGTTGTGATAGCCAGTAGGGTATTAGGCGGAAAAGGGGTGACCGTTCTTTTTGATGTATATACGTTTTGGGTGTACAAAAAGATCAGAGTGATAGCTGTACATACTTTTGGGTATGTAAGTAAAATTTAAAGGTTTTAGTAAAGTTCTGTATTTCCTTTGAGATTTATGTTTTATTATATATGCTTCCTATTATGAAAACTTTGATGTGTTATGATTAGTGATGTGAGGATAGTTTGAATAGACTACTTTTTACTTATCTAATTCTGTTACCAGTGTTTTCAGAATGGGGGTAAGTAAGAAGACGGTCTGTTTAGATTTTCCTTCTCTATTGCACTCTAGATTGACTGTAGGGGGTCAAAATGTGGTGTGATAGAAATTGGTATCAGATCCAAGTTAAAAAAATCTAATTATTGTGACATCCTAATTATAGTATTCATAATTATAATTTGTTGGTGTTAATAAAAATTAGAATTGATGAGTAACTCATATTTAAAACACAAATGTGATATGAGTTAACCGTCTTAAATCGTGAATAGCATTGCAAAGCAATCTCACAAGATTTAACTTATTTTTTACCAAACAATTTTTAGGATTTAACCTTCTCAAGGTTTAGTAAATCCAAATTTAGAGGATTTACAAAATTCTACTTAAATTAAATCATTCATGCATCCAAATAGGCCCTAATGAAGACGAATCTTTGTTTTGAGTGAAGGAGTAGAGGAAATAAGATCCTCACAGATTCTTTTGGAGGGAAAAACACTAAGAAGATTTAGTGGCGTTGATACCATGAATAATAAAGCTGTGCACAAATTGCTTGCCCTTCTCTAGAAGGGTTTATTCATTATATAGAAAAGAATAAGTAACATACATTATAGTGGTTGAGTAATTTGCTCATCATATTTGTCCTTAATAAGATATAAAATGATTTTCTTTCTCATCTATGAATCTTTATATGTGAAAAGGTTGGATTAGTTCATGTGGCCGATTAGATTAGAGAGAGTCATCTTAGATGATTTTATCACATAAAACTTCGCCTTTTGATGACCCATTTAAGATAGTAGATTATTACATCTTGCTTATATTAAAAAAGGTAGAGGTAGACATAAAAAGACTTTGTTAGAAAGTATTGCAAATGACCTTTATTATTATATTTAAATGAAAATTGGACTCTTAATAGGACAAAATAGAGAAAAAAATTTATATAGCCGACCCCATGTAATAAAGACTTGTTGTTGTTGTTATATCTTTGAGTATTTATAGTTATATTTATTTATTATACCTATTCCTAATCATAATTTACAGGTAGTAATTGATATGACAATAAATGCCTACTTTAATGCATATCACAACAATATCTTGTCCAAGCATTCTTGATATGGGTATGAGGTGTGTCTAGGTTTCTAAAAATAAGATAAGTACAGGATTACTGGATCCGGACCAAAAGCCAACAAGCTTCCCCTCCTTTACTCTGCGTACATGTGCCAATGCACTTGCTATAATATGAAATAAGAAATAAGAAATAAGATGACATGCATGATAAATAAAGAATAGCCAAATATAAGACTTCAAAACAAATGAATATATCATTATGATTGTTCCTAAAAAATATTTTAGTATGTTTAGCAGATAATCATTCTCTAAACCCCATAAAATGATGCTCTTCGTAATTGAAGTGAACAATTAGGATAAAACAATGAAGATGAATAAGATTCTCTAGACCTGATGATTAAAAATTGGGCAAGTAAATTGCAAAATGCTCAGTGTAATATAATAAGATATTTCAGTTGCCGTATATAGTAGCTTTCTGCTAAGCGTGGTTCTTGCAGTTCGTTACGTAAGAATTTATCACCATTCTGGATCTATCAAGTACACACACATAAAAATTAAGAATGGGTATCAATGAAATTATGAAAAAGTAAAGGTTATTCAATAGATTAAATCTTTCAATTAAAAATTATAATTTATGTTGGTTAAGATTTAATGGGGTGAGAATGCCGGATATAAAGTATATATAAGCCAAGTTTCTATAGAAATGTGAATTGCTAAAGATTGTATGGTGTTGAAATCTCGTTATCTGACCATGTAAGTACAACCAATTCAATAGTATAAAATAAATTAGCTAAAGTAAGTACAAACTGACTTCACAAATTTTGTATGTTGATTACAGGGCAGGGAAATTTTGCAAAGCACTGTGGATCTGGTCCAGAACAACCTGAATTTAGAGGTACTAATTTTATTGCTACATCTTTGACTATTTGCAACTTTCTGAAGACTTGAGGACTTCAAAAGAGTTCAATGGTGCCAGTCTTCATTCAATTAATCTATGTTATCATTGATTTTTGTTCCTCGTACACTGCAGCATAAGAGTTTCGTGGAATAAACTTGCATGATTGACTTTTTTTTTTAATCATATTCGGGTAATTGGGAAACCTATTTATTTTAGTAAGCGTTCAATAAAACCACATTAGGGAGAAGCATGAGAGGCATGGTACATGACCTTGGAGGATCTCCCCCCACAAATCTAAGCTAATTATGTTTAGAATTTTCTAAGAATTATTAAAATTCTAGAAGGTTCTAGATCCTTCTTGAAGTTTTTGGAGGTTGGGGAACTCTTACAAGTTTTTAGAAGATAAGGAGGATGTTATTATTAAAACTCAAGTTCATATGAGGTTTACTTGAAATTTAAGCAGAAGACTTATTTGATTATTTGAATTACTTTTTTTTTTGAAAGTTTGATAGTTTTTTATTTTTTTTCCTTAAGCTTAATTAGATTTCGTTGACTTAAATTTGTTTAGGTTTAAATTTGACTCTTACATTTTTATGGATGGGAGGGCTCTAGGTGTAATTTTGAAGCTTGAAGAAAAGAATGAAGACACTACTGTAATATAAAAATGTTAATTTTAGAAATTATAAATAGTGATTTTAGGGAAAAAATTATTTTTGAAAAACTTAATGAGAAATATAATAAAGTATATTGTAGATTAATCTTAAAAATTGGAGTGAATTCTAAAGATGCATAAATGTAAGGCCTTTGATATATAGATGATATACTTATTGAGATTTTGAAAGTTATGATGAATATTTTAGTGATTTGTTTAACAAATTTTTTCAATGCAATTTTGAATATCAAGTGCATATGGAATGATAAGAGAAGTAGTTTATACAAATATCTAAAAGCAAAGGAAATATTCAAGATTATGTTAATTATAGATGAATTAAAATTTTGAGTTATATGATTAGAAAGGGCTTCAGAGAATTATGGAACATTGAGTAAAAAAATTACACACTTTTAAAGAATTAATTTGATTTCATGCTTGGACAATCTAATATGGAAGTACTTTTATGTTAAGATAATTAATAAAAAATAATAAAAAGCACATAAAGGATCTTTATATATTTTTTGTTGATCTTGAGAAGGAATATGATCAAGTATCGTGGAAATTGATTTGTTGCACATTATATATGGCCATAAAGGTGTGCCTACTTTGAAATTATTAAAAATCTCATTTGTTGTTGTTGGAAAGTTATCCTCCATGGATTATTGGATTGTTGTCAAGGGAAAGCTGTTTTATCCATGGATTATTGGGATGCTATCTTTTACTATGGAATCCAAAATTAAAAACACAATATAAATGGAATGTTAATGCTCACATATTATTAGATTCTTGTAGATATAAATCTTTTTTGTTGTAGATGGAAAGCTATCATCCATGGATTATTGGATTATTGTTGATGGAAAGCTATTCTATCCATGGATTATTGGGATGCTATAGATGGGAAGATCAAGGAATCAAAATTATTTTAACATTATAAGATAAGATGATGTTTATGTATGATAAGTTTAAATATCTTGCTTCTATTAGATAGAATAATGAAGATATAGATGGAATACAATGTTAAGAATTAAAGCTGGATGATTATAATGAAGAAATGCCACTATGTTATAAGAAGATTTATTTGAGAATTAAAGATAAATTTAATAAAATTGCAATTAAACTAATGGTATTGTATATATTTGAGTGTTGGGCAATAAAAAATATTAACATTCAAGTTGGGTGTGATAAAAATAAGAATGTTAAGATGGATATATGACATAATTAAATAAGATAGACCTTAGGTTACATGGATATAAGCTATTTAAATTATGATTTTTGAAGAATATATTTAATAGCTTATGCACTGCTAAACATGAATGAATGAAAACAAGCATTCATAAAGTGTCATGATCCGGCCTGGAAACTCAACATAGCTAGGTGGGAACGAAAAATCGGACGATAGTAACGATTCAATTCATATCATAAACAAATTAACATACAACTTCTCAAAACAACTGAAGAGCCACTATTACAAAATTTTCTCAAATACTTAACATTTGTATAAATCATAAATTATATGTTTTCATTTACACGCCGTCTTTTATAGACGTACTATTCCCTTTCAACCATTTTTAATTCTTTGAAGACTTACTGAATTATTAGTTGGATAGGTTGAGTTTACAAAGTTAAACTCAGTGAGTAACTTCTATAGGTATAACAATTAACCATGTATACAATATAATACATATAACCTTTGATATATGCTTATTCATTTAACATTTGATATACATTTTCTTTCTTTGTTTCCTTTCATTTCATTCATTCATATATCATATTGTTGACCCGTAACACAAAAAAAAGAGGGAGGAAATGTCGCGTACCTTCCCCATCCTGCATGCACGACTGGTGTCGTGTCTCCGTACGTCGTTCCCACTTCGAAGCCACACCCGACGTCGCATCGCCCACGACCTCTCCGCATCGTTAAAAGGAGGTGAGAGCGTTCGACCTCCCTTCCTCTCCCATTCGGTACCCTCTCTACTCCGACTTCGCCGACCCTTCTTCGCCTCCTTTAACTCTTGGGCCAACGCAGCGAGAGAGAGAGAGAGAGAGAGAGAGAGAGAGAGAGAGAGAGAGAGAGAGAGGGAGGGTTATTTTATTATTATATATTATTATTATATATTATTATTATTATTATTATTATTATTATTACTATTACTAATTAAAATTAATTTTTGTTAATTACAGCTAATTAACTTTAATAATGATTAGTTATAGTTAATGAATAATTAATTATGATTAAATATTTTAATTATATTTAATTGTTCTTAATGATAATCAATTAAAATTAATTAAATTGATTTTAATTAATTATTTTAATTATAGTCAATTATTATGATTAATAATTAGCTATAGTTAATTAAAATTAATTAAAATTTATTGTTTTAATTTTAATTGATTGTTATTAATTAAAATTAAAAATAATTAATTATTGTAATTATAGTTAATTATTATAATTATAATTAATTCTTTTTGTTAAAGAGGTAATTAGTTATAATTAATTAAAATTGATTTAAAAAAAAATGAGAGATGCACGCCCCTCCTCTTGCCTCTTGTCTCAAGCCACCGCCAGTCCGCCGGGTCTCCAAGGTATAATCTAAACTCAGATTTTTGCCATCAATGTTCGCAACGAACTAGCAAACCCCCTACGCGCTCACGTAGTGTTGTGGGGAGGGAAAGTAGCCTGATGCCTGCGACGAGGCGGACAATCGCCTAAAACCTGCTCTCGACGTTCACGAAGAGCTAGCAAACCTCCTACGCGCTCACGTAGCGTTGTGGGGAGGGAAACTAGCCCGACGCCTACGACGAGGCGGACAATTGCCGAAAGTCCTGTTCTCGACGTTGGTGACGAGCTAGTAAACTCCCTATGCGCTTACGTAGCTTTGTGGGGAGGGAAGCTAGCCTGACGCCTACGACGAGGCGGGCAGTCTCCTAAAATCCCATTCTCGATGCTTGCGACGGGCCGGCAAACGCCCTACGTGCTCACATAGCGTTGTAAGGAGGGAAACTGGTGCGACGCTTGGGATGAGATGGGTAATCCCCGGAGTGCTCACGTAGCGCGAGGGGAATAAAATAATAACAAAACAAAATACACCGTTAAACTCTCACCTAGCGGGCGGGGATAAAAATAAAATATGCGACCGCGGTGTCATTTTTTTGACACCTACCTGAAGCGCTCACGTAGCGTCGAGGGGAAGGTTACGTCTTGGTATTTTCCCCTAAACAGGTGAGATGCCGGGAGGTTGCCGAAATTTTCACTGAAATAGGGGACTTGGGCAGAATCTGAACAAGCTGAACTTGAACCCGGACCTGTTTGAACTCAAAAGAACAAGAACCTGCACTCAAATGAATATGAACAGTGGACTTAAGGACTTAAACTTCTTGAACCAATAAAGACCTGATTTTGACAATAAACTGAACACAAAATCAAGCCTAAATCAAACTTGAATGAACTCAAATTTAAATGAAATCAGATGTAAGTTTGGACTCGCAATAAGTGACAATGAAATTGGACTTAGACTTGAGTTGAATTTGAAACATGATTCAATCATTCGAACTCAAATAAGAATTTGAGTTGGACCACAAAGGACTTGCACTTGAATATGCAATTGCACTTGCAAGGACAACATGAGACTTACACACTTGGACTTGTACTCTGAACTCAAAACTAGATCAAGATGTGGATAACAATAACTTATGCATTTGAGCTTAAACTGTACGACGCCAAGTGAAATTTGGATTTGCAAGCATTAGATTCAAATCCGGATGAACCCAATATGGCAGTAGAAGACTTGAATGAATGTGGAAGACTCATACTGAGTTTGAAACTCAAGCCTGAATGAAACTGAACTTGGAATCAAATATATCCAAAGAATAGAGCCTGAATCATATACGAGGAAACTCAAACTACAAGACCTCAATGCATGAATTCCTACTTCGATCCCTATGAGATTGAGATGGCAACACTATCAGTCGATGGTAGAAAACCCGTCCCTACAAACAAATGCAAGATATCAGACCACCTGAGACTGGTGAAAGGTGGGTATGACATTGGTGCAAACGGCTCTTCTACGAATACTCCTAGGAGCTCATAGTAGATACAATGGTCCCCTGCAAATGAATACTTGTGGGTAACAACAGTAGGTATATTGTAAGTATAATGAACCACTGTGAACACAAATACGAATATCACATACGACAACGGTGATTAAGATCTATAAGTATTTCGAGTACAAGGGCAACTCGACGTACGAAAAAGAACACCCCATGGCAGAATGGAGTTGTTTGAGCAAATTCAAACTAAACTTCCTGGTGTTCTAAAATTCCTTCTCGATCCTATACTCAGGAAGGA